CGGTGCATAGGCAACTGGCTGAGTCAGTGGGATCGTCGGTTCGAATCCTACTGAAAGAAGTCTGATGAGGAAATGTGGTGATTTCCGAAATAGCTATCATTTCTACCATTTTTTCAAATTATTGTTGCTTTTCCACAATAAAAATTTTCATTCAAAACGGCCTCGAGCTCAATATAAATTGTTGAATATAAAAAAAAGAAAAGATTTTTCGAACCGGTACTTGTACTACATACAAACATATGTACGTTTTATGATTTGATCGTAAAACAAATCGATGACTGTAATGCGCTCATTGATAATGAAAACACAGAGTAGATACGATAATGTTTTTGCCATATAATTATAAAGTTAGTTTGTACAGTGATAACAAAAATTCCAAAAGCTGGAAATCGGTGACACATATTTTTAGAAGTCAAGATAACAAAAGAAAAAATTTAGAAGGCAGCTTACAACAGTTACACATATATTTTTCATTTCTGAAGAATGTTTTTTTATCTTAAAAGGCTTCCAATTTTTGTACGAGAACCCTATTGAATTTATTCAAAATGATGAAGGCCGAAATATGTACATTAGGGTGCATCACTCTCCATAAAAAAACACGGTACCGTTTTTCCATCGGTAATATAAAATTTTTCATATTTTAATGGCCTTATTCAAAAAAAATAAAGTAGCTTTATAAAAGGTTTATTAATTGAAAAATGTATGCAAACGTCAATTTATAAAGCTCTTTAAGCCTACTTTATTTTTTATGAATAAGGCCATAAGACTTTAGCCGAAATATTTTGGAAAAATATCAACTTTTACGTGAGCCGGACCTATTTGAATGTAAATACCACCAAAAATCTAGGTTTTTATAAAGAAATTTAGTTTTTTTAAATAATTTTTCTAAAAAATTACCTGAGATCATAGAAGAGCTTAAGCCTAACCGGTCTGCATACCAATTTCTTATATTTTATCAACGGAATCAAAATAACGAGATTTTTGGAGGTATGTTCAAAAGGTTCCAGCTCGCGTAAATCTTAATATTTTTCCGACATATTTTGGCGGAAGTCTTTTAAAATATAATAAGTTTTATGATTCCGATAGAAAAAGCGCTACTTTTCTTGGTGATGCACCCCAATGTCCATATACATATACATATATTTAAACTTCCGCAAAAAAAGATACGTACTAGACCTCTGCATGAGTCGATTCTAATTTCAAGCCAAAGAGAGTACAGTAGAATTGTGTATTCTATTTCAAGTTCAAAACACCCAGCGTTTTGAATTTTGTATTTTATGAATATTCATTGCGTTTCAAGTTTTCTAACTTCATATAGAATTATGTACATAAATGAATGAATGAAAAACATTAAATTTATTCAGACTCAAATTTATTACAATTTATGTGATATTCTGTGTTTAGCATCGAAAACGAAAAAAAGAATGGAAAGTGTAGAGGAAAATGTAAGTGCGTTTAGCTTAAAATGATGTACGTATGTATGTATAGTGAATCTACATTTCGGTCCATTTAATAATGATAATGGTATATGTTTATAATAACAGGACTCCGCAAGCGCATTATTGCAAAGTGCCGGCATCAAGAAGAAGCTCCACAGTGGAGAATACACTCTGAGTCAAAAAAGAGGTCGTAGCAATGTTTGGGAGATATTTTCCAATGTTAAAAATAACTCTGGCGAAGAGTTGCCCGATATTGTAGCATGTAAAAGATGCTACAGCATTTACAAATTTACGGGGTGCACGTCAAATATTGTAAGACATAAATGCTATATTATAAATGCCCATACTGTGGATCAGGAGATTCAAAGTTATTCAAACCTAAATGTTACGTTCACTGCTGACTTCGACTGCCTTAAATGGTGGTATCTGAACAAAAATTCCAATTTTATACAAAACGAGCTGCAAAATTTTCTGTATACCCGCAAGTAGCGCGGCTTCTGAAAGAGCCTTTTCAGATGCAAGAAATTTAATAACCGAAAAACGTTGTACTATTGCTCTTAACCCAGACAATGTAAATAAAATAATGATTCTGCATTCAAATATAGAAATATAAATATACTATATGTTGAAACCAACTCGATTCTTATCTAATGACTCTCTTTTATGGCGCATACAAGTACAAAATATGTATAAGAAAAGTTCAATAAATACAAGGAAATGTAGGTATTTAGATTTATAAAAATAAAAAAAATTCCATCATATTCACTCAATTTGTTTTCACATCGTTTGAATATTGTAATGTCGACAATCATATCAGCAAAGCTATTCATTTAAATTCAATAAAATTCAAACCCAATCACATTCATTTAATTTCAATATGAATGATTCATTTGCCGTTTGGAATGGATTCATGCAGCCCTCTAATACGTACCTACAATTATAGGATTATATCCATTCTCCAGCGCCGCCTCCTTTGCCGATATGCGAAAGTAAGATTCACAAATTCCTTGAACTAAACCAGCGAAGGTCAGCGCTTGAATTGATATGAAAAGTAATATATGAATGTATGTATGTGGGTATATGAATAACGACCGCTTAAAATCGATTTCAAAGTTCTACTTTCGCTGTAGAAATTTTAGGTCTACGTTATGTAGTTTGACTATTGTCAATTAAATCGAATGCTTTGTATTGCATGCGCTCCACGTTTTTCATTTTCAATTTCATAGATTGTTTATAATGACTTTTGCTAAAATTTCAAAATCAAAAGTTATCAAAACAAATTCTATGGGACTGAGAAGTATTATTTTCTACTTTTTAGTCTATTTATAAAAGCGTTGTATATTAAAAAGTTTTTTTTATATTATTTATTTTTCTTATGAATATGATTCACTGGTTTAAATGCTAACCATTTGGTATATTATTGGAACTGACGGCTATTTGCGATAAGTCTGAACTACGTGTGCCTGCCGTCATTTTGAATACATCTATAATTGGTCGGAAATATAACAAAGCATGTAGTATATATTCTTTTTCTAATTTTTTCATTTACACTGTTTTGTTGCACTTTTGATTTCAATTTAAATATAGTATTCGCATTGTGAATTATCCTTAGAAGTTAAATTATGAACTATATTCGATAAGTACGTTGACGCATAAAATTATTGACTTTTAATACAGTATAAAGGTATGTATAAGGACAATTAGGCGTATTGTTTAATTATTTTTGTTACTGAGCTTTCGTCGTTATTCGAAGCAGGCCAATGACTAATTCAGTCTTTTTCGTACAGGCGGAATCGCCATGCCATAACTCTACTTGCTATACGCACTCATGCTTCATTCTTTATCGCCACCAAACAGTTTTTAGATAAGTGGCCAACCATATAGTAGGTAGTTTATCAGTTCTTGATAAGCGATACCTCTTTCGCCCTTTTACATCTTCTATATCCTATACAGTTTTATTGCAAAAATTACAAATACAAAAATAAAATAAAAGCAATTCAAAACAATGCAACATGTTGCGTTCGATGCGTGCTTGGCGCCGTGAAACAGTGTTGGAAACTCCATTTGGTAAAAAACAAAAGAATGTGAATAAAGATTTAGTTTATTTTAAACAAAAGAGTGAGAAAACTTTCTGATACTCGCAGCGAATATTAAGTCTACTATACACTCGAATTTTACGAATGGGTTGTGCGCTGGGCTTTGAGACCACGCCGATTGAGAACTCTATCCTAAGAGGTAGGGTGTTCGACTGTTAGACGTTTTGTTCTGACCCAATGTGTCTAATATGGCGTGGTAGGATGACAACCTTCAGCTCCATTTCAATTGGGATGGACATCTGCGCACCGTTTGCGACCAAACAAGGTTTGAGAAAAAGCGATTCAGACTCGTGGGACTTTTTAATCTTATGCTAGAAAGTCACCAAAAATTGGTTTTGAGTAAGAGCACCGCCACCAATAAGGTCTGTCTAGAGATCAAGCGAAGAATAACCCCTGCAAACAGGTGCTACTTTTCCTCGGTAGCCAATTCGGCACCCATGGTTGGACTATGAAAGCAAGGGTGCCACGAACCAAATGGAAGAATCAAGTGCAGAAGGACCTATCATCACTCGGAATATAGAATGGTTGTAAAACCAAAAAAGATGAAGGTATACTCGAGGACTTTTGTTTAGTTATTATTAATTTTATATTCAATGGGGAAAACTTGAATTATAACAATATGATTTTCATCCTAAATGCCGAACACCCGATTAGAAGTAGTCTCCTAAAGGGGACTGTTCTTAGACAGCTCATAACTCATCTCAAATGTCAAAGTAACCAGTTTCGTCAAAAAAAAATCCAGTTCACTGAAAACGACTTTTAAACAGCCTTTTCACGGGTCGATTTTCCAACGAGCCGTGTAAAGACAGCTTTACTACACTGATTAATAACTCAGCTGGATTTGCGATTTTGAAAATATTAGCTTTTCTTTTATTTTCAAAAAATCTCTCATATTTGTAAATGTAAATATATTCAAACCAAGGTACATTGAACAGGTAGTATCAGTAGAGCAGCTGATTTGATTTATTTTCAAATTATTTGGTCTCGAAAATGTCAAATATTTTTAATTTTTTTCTCACAAAAATTCTGAATTGTTAAAATCCATTTGCATGTGAAACCTTTTTCCATACAAAACAAGCGATTGAATAGCAGCTTTTGGAACGTTCGCCCAACTCAGCAAAACAACCGCTGATTACTGGCCCTTGTAAAGGATGGATCAATGCTTCGAGAAGCAAACAAATTTAGTAGGAAAGAAAGTTGCAACAATTTTTATTTTTTCCAATTTCAATTTTTTATTTTTTATAATTTTTTGTATTTCACATGGCACGCTTTGATTTAGAAGAAAAAATTCAGAACAGTTTTTGACACTTTCGATACCAGAAGCAACAACAAAATACACGCAAATGTTGTTTTTGCTCTACTGATACTACCTGTTTAATGTGCCTTGATTCAAACAGACAATCGCTAATCTAAACAAATATTTCAATATGTCGCGAAGTTTATATTTAATCTTATTGTTTATAGCGCTTTTGTCCCCAGCACATTGCACGCCGGTGTTATTTTGGCAAGCTCAAGTGTAAGTTTTTGCTAAAAAAGTTCAACCAACTAACCAACTTCTGGATACAGTTAGTTACACTACATACCGCTACTACTGAATAGCACTGCCAAATCAGTATTCCCTAGAATTGAGCAAGAGGATTTCTTCAAGAAATAAAAGCCTTAATTGACAGTAACAAAACGATCATCGCATTTACATATGATAAGGTAATCTCGCGTGAGGTGCTTAAAACAAAGTTGAATATTACTTACCTCCTCATACCTGGAATTATTATTTATTATTGCAGTATTTGCTTACAATTTCTTTTGTAGCTTTTGTTGAGGGATTTTCGTTGCGAGGATTGTTTCTCATATCTCAGCCAGCAATCGTCCACTTTTTACGCCAATGTGGAAAAGCCTGCCGAAGCTTTTAAAAAATTATCTACGGTACTTGAACTTTACGTTCAAGAGGATGGAAGAATGGAATCTCCATTACAGTGTCAACCGGATAAGCTATATATGATATCCTTAGATGAACTCAAAAGTCACATTAATCCAATGAAGAGTTGTGGTAAGTTATTGCATAATTACATTTATCGACATCTTACTCGTTTGTAAACTCGAAACAAGTATAATTTAATAAGTATAGCCTATATGTAGTGATACCGTTTGGTTCGATGTCGACCTTGCAACTAGAAATAGAACCAAACAATTTCATTTACGTATAAAACTTTCAAGTTCCCATAATTTTGACAAGCTTAAGTCTAAGACACAATCGAAAAAGGGTTTATGAAGAAATCAGTGCCTGAGTTACGTCAGTCCCAGGTAATACAGAGAGAGTTCTCGCGAATTTAGCTACCTTCTTCGTCTCGACAGATTCACCAGAAGTCGTCTGTCGCAAAGCCCATCGCTTCTACGTGTATTAAGCAATGGCTAGTTCTGATTCCGCCAAATGTACTGAGAAAGACTAAGTAAGTTTTAACAGACAGTTTTCAGAATGGATGCCACCTGGTATTGAATACGGCTACATTCGATAGCTGTTTTAGAGGAAGGTGAACAGCTTTCTAAAGATTTATGTAGTAGCGGGTTGCAGTGAATCACTGACGGATCGGGGTAGTGTTCCTTGAGATCCAGTGCCTGGTGCGTGGTCTGATGGGGAACTCATTTCTCTACAACCATAAGGTCAACACGGAGGCTGAATTTCAATAGCCCAAAGATTGCCTCATCATATATAAAGTGTCACCGATCTCCCATTGACACCGAGCACTAGTTTTATTCATCGCTCGTGGACGCTGGGGTGCCTATTGATTGACATGGACTCAGAATACCTTTCAAGAAGTCTTTATACACCTCGCTCAAACCTACAGCGACGGATCTCTAGTTATCCACCGTCAGATTACCGTCCGGATATCTTCAGTCTAGGATTCCCAGAACTAAATGTAGATGGAAGTTTTGTTAGAGGTATCTTCGGGGTTGCTATTCTTTATATCAGCTCCTTTCTATCTTCGTACACAGGTATGCACTCGAACCTCTTGAGGATTTTAGATGCAGTCCCACTCTCTTGTTGGACTCTAATTTCTTACCTCTCGTGCCGCTTGAGTGTGCATTATAATACTTGTTCTCTTTAGGGATCGTCGTCTTTTGGATTTCCCAATGAGGGTTTATTGCTGAACATTTCAGCCGGTAGGGATGCACCTGTAAAGTACCTAAGGTCATACCTTTCATTGTATGAAGCGATATTAGAGTTTCTGTTGGAGATACTAATCCCAGCAGCCATCGATGTAGAGGCTTAGGGGTTAGGTAAGGTCAATAAGTCTTTCAGGGTTTAGTTGCGCGCTACACATCAGCTGTGCACTTTACTCAGTAAGTTTGGTTCGCTGGCGGTGGACGTGACAATTATTTCAACGCCGCCTTCTGAGCAGATTTTTTTAAGATGCCGAGCAGCCCTTACTTTCCAACAGAGGTGGCACAGACCCGTTCGGGGCTATCACAGGGATACCCGAAGTGGAATTTTTTTTTTCACTGTGTTCGTGGCGTTGGCGGAATTGGCGGGAGCTCAGACTGGTTTGAGTTTTAATGTATTCATCTGGTTCTTTGGCCACGTACTGAGCTAGAACCTTTCAGAGACCGAAGAAGGAGAGAAAACAACGGTCGCCCGCACCAGAGCGCCATGCCATAGTAAATTCACCGTTACTCGCGGAGAAGGACAGGTATCCGGAAAGCTCTTTGGGAGAAGACCATTGAAAATAAGAACGCTTTTTAGTCATCTTGGGAGAATTAACCTTGTAATGATTGAAATCTCTTCTGTAACTAACAGTTTAGAAACAAAATGTGTATTTCATATTAGTTTTATTTTTATCATAAAAATTGTATGCATTTTAAATTCGTATTTATGTGCTAAATTTTGGTTTGTGTATGTATGTATGTATTTTAATTCTTGTTTTACAGATGAAGCATTCAAAAATGTGGTCACCACTTCTGTAAATTGTGAAGATGCTGTCTACGTTTTCCTAGGAACTCATGAAGTTTCAACTGAGCGCAGCGGTCGGCTCTATTAAAACGGAAGAATTTCATTTTATTTAACTCAACTGGAAGTAGAGGACTCAACTGGCTTCATACAAGAAATCGAATTTTATGATATGAACATAACCGGAGGAGATCCTAAGCTAACAGTTGAGCTTATAGCCGAAAATTCGACTGCATCGTTACGATTCAATGTAGTTATTAGTAAAGGATATTTTCAGATTTACTCGTTTACATTTAACGATACCACTTATTACGTTTCTGACCTCTATGCACCAATAAGTCATTCGTTTTCTTGTGGAAAAATACTACTTAAAAAGGACAAGAAGAAGCTCGTAATTAAAAGAATGCAAATTCAATACGATGTCATACCACATCCCAGTGATTTTAAGTTCAAAGATGCTTGGACATGTGAGGGATTCACCTCCCCTGGCATAATATCTGGACTTTTTGTAACAGCTATTTTTGTTGGCGTTTTGTCAATTGGTATTAGTATGTTGATGAATGTTCAATCACCAACGAAATTTTAAACTCCAGGAGGACCTATATTACACATAAACGTAGTTGAGTAATATATAGTAGAAATCATGATACAAAAATAGAAGGTAGTTTCAATAAACAACTTTTGACGGATAACAAAATTTTTTGAAGTTTCATAAATTGTGAGTATTCTCAACGGCCTTGCC